AGAGGCACCCACTACCTCCAATACACAAAGATTGTAATTAACAGAGGCACCCACTACCCCCAATACACAAAGATTGTAATTAACAGTGGCACCCACTACCTCAAATACACAAAGATTGTAATTAACAGTGGCAACCCCCACCCCATCTCACTGATATTTTCACTGAGGGTGTGATGAACAAGAGGCACCTAATCATAAGTGGAGCAGCATCTCTTGTAGGGTGGGCCTGCCCGTTATCTAAGTCCCCCTTCCACTCAGGGCTACAACCAACCTTCCAAAGAGCATCTTGAATGTGTTGACCACAGGACTTCAGAATGTGGGCAGACAGAGGTCCTCTCGTCATGTTCTTTGTCCCAAAAACAGTGCTGACACAGACATCAGCCTGCAATAGCACCATAGAAAAAAAGGTATAATTGACTTACACAGAGTGTTTTAAAAATAAGAGACCTGTCAATGTAGATTTGAGGGTGCATTGTCACAATATAAAAGCCTCACAGGCACCCGCCAGCCTTTTGGTCATTGGGCTGATACCTGGCCATGCCAGATATTCTGCTCTCATGTCAAGTTGGCGCAGCACCTCTGAGTTTCTCCAATCGACTTTAAATATCCCAATTTAAAAAAAAAAGTATTGGCAAAAGCCTTACAATAATTGCATTTCTTAATCAATAATCAGCGCAAATCAAAAGACAATTGGTAAGCCCCTAAAAATCATCCGAGCTTGCAGAAACGTGTGTGAGAAAGAGATGATTAAGTAGCCATTGTGTGGGTACTGTGCTCCGTGTTGAAAGTGTACCCCTAGCAGCCAATTCACTGACCGTGCAGCGAGGCAAGAAAAAAAAAAGAGACCGTAAATACTGAGATGGCGCAATCCTTCTTCGGCATAAAGTGTGCTGTTGGAAAATCGAGTCAGTTTTTAGTTTTAGTAAGGTTTTACGGCGCTCGCAACTGCATAAGGTCATATGAGCACTAAGGGGTGGATGTCAACAGAGAAGTCCTTACAGGGAATCAGACTTACTCTGCTCACCTCTCCAGCTTCAACAGCACAAAGTCTGCTTCGACTATCAAGGCACCCCGGAAATAGCGGGTCACAAGAGTGTGACAAACATACTAAAGAAGTAGAGGAAAATGACGATAGTAAGGATTAGGAAAGAAAAAGCAGCAGTTCCCTGTTGTAGATCAGGCACAGTTATGAGCATGACATTGTTAGATCAGCCCATTTACAATTCTACTGAGCACTAGAACGAGAAATGTCTCCCCTTTGGGAATGGCCTAAAGACACTTCAGTCAGTGGCACCGCCCTGGGAAAATCGAGGTCAGTGACGGGTGCGTAATGAGCCCACACAACACACGCAGTATCACTATAACACTAGCTGTACGGCAATTATTATAGTTAGCCGTGTTACTAATTAGTAACAAGTTGTAGCTGATCAACTCATACATTTAATTTATGTATTAGACTAGTCAGGCATATATGCCATCATCTGTTGTAAGAACTGGATTGAAAAGAATTATTATCAAGACTGAAAGCAAAGATCATTACTAAATTAACATAAAACTTAAAAGCCCACGCAACATTGGTCATAACTTACTTTTACAGTGTGCATAGAATGCTATTGGTATCATAATAATAGAAGTGTTAAAAGAAAAAACAAGCAAAAAAAACAACAACAAACAAACAAATAAACAAGCAAACAAATAATATCACAACATCTTTCAAAACAGGCAAAGAATATAATGTTCACAACATACCTCTATATATATATATCTCAAAATCATGAAAAGTTTTTGGTGAGAAACTTAAATAAACTGTCTGTTCTTTTTAGACCTGTACGTCCTGCTGAATGGCTTTATTTCTTTCTTTTAAAAAAATGATAACTGTGTAGTCTGATGCTAATAAATACATTGTACATTGACTGCTATAGTCCATTGTTTGGCATTTGCAGGAATCACCTTTTATTTCAATTACATTTGGCTCCTGGTGTATTTTCAATTTCAGATTCTGTCTAATGTGTGCTCTGTTCATCAAAGGCTTTAAACATGTTAGAAAAAAAAACCCAGCCTCAAACAAACCAAGCTTCCACACGTTTAAAACTGGGCTTTTTCAAGCCACTGTGACAACAATGTCAAACTGTTTCTGGCTGATGAGTGTCTGGTGCTTTGAACGGGAAGACCAGGAATCTTCTAATTTCCCTATGCAATCCTTTCATATAAAATCATAAAGTTTTTTCAAAAATTGATGTATCCACTCACATAGGAAACTGCATGGTCTAAGTGCATTGCATCTTTAATATTGCTAGATTTAAGTAACTTAACAATACCTATGTTCATTATCAAGGTCTGCTGAAATTAAAATTGTTTTGACTGTTCTTACTACTCAGATTTATCAAAAAGTTATCCACATCATCCCAGCAACTTCTTAAAGGCGATGCAATCATAAATTATTTGTCAACCATTATCTGTTTCGAACGAAAACGGAATTGCTGTGGGTCTGGATTGTCATGATGTCCACCTTTTCCTCTGATGACTGATAACAGATTTTCAAGTGTCTGATGACTGATAACAGATTTTCAAGTACAGTGTATCTTGATTGCACGATTTATGATAACGTAATCAAACCCTTGTTCCATGTTAACAATGTCTGCCACTAGACCTTGAAAAGCAGTGATGTTGCCGATCCTCACACTGACTCATGGTAATGCTTTTAAATCTTTCTTTTTGTCCTCTGGTCCAAACTTCAGATCTTTCAACCACAGAAGTGCATGTCTTCTGCAGAAATTTAATTCATGGTGCTGTGGTGCAGTTGTGATGGGGTTACAATATTCGCCAGAGGTTGACATAAATGACCAATTGAAAACATTGAAAACTTTTTCAGAGACATGATCACAAAAATCAGATGTAGCCCTGTCAGACAAAGGATTAATTTCTAGTTTACACAGTGTTCCGATAGCTTTTGATACACAGCAACTGAGCAGACGCACAGCCAAACAAACCCTTTGACAACCCCCTGGGGCAGTGCCACTGACTGAAGTGTCTTTAGGCCATCCCCAAAGGGGGGGGGGAACATATCTCGTTCAAGCATAGTAGAATTCTAAATGGGCTGACTCATGTCACGCTCATAACTGTGCCTGA